TTTTAGTTAGTTGGTTATGTATTTTTTAAATAAAAAAAAAATTTTTGAATTTACTTACTTGTAGCCGGAGTTAGAGGCGGTCGGATACTTATGACCGCTACTGTATTTATTTTTATTTTTTACTTTTTTAGGTAGATTTTAACAAAAAGTTAATTTTGATATTTATTTATTATATTATTTTTATTATTTTTTTTTAATGTTATAACTTTTTATTTTTTTTAATTCTAATTTTTTCTTTTTGTAACTTTAGGATACATTAAATTTTTTTTTTATTTTTTAGGAAATTTCTTTAGGTTAAATAGTTTTATATTATAAATTTCATTTTAATCTTTATTTTTATTTTATTTAAGAATATTTTATAGAAATTCACATTATACTTTTAATTGTAAAGATTAATAAATATAAGAATTACTTATCACTTAGTTATTTAGAAATAAGAAAATTTTACTTATTTCTTATTATAAACTACCATTTATAAACAAATATATATAGTTAAATATATAAAAATAAATTAAGAAATGTATCTTATGAATTATTTAACATTTTTTCTTTCTTATTAATAGCCAGCTTTTTATAATTACATAATTTCCAAATTATTTATTTTAAAGGAATCATGTGAATGCCTTTTTATAATACCAAAAAATATGTTAAATCATGTTCTTATTTGAAGACTTTGTAAATTATATTTACTTGTTGAGATATTTTATCTGGAATGTTAGAATTTGTATTATTACAGGAAGAGTTGCAAATTATTTTTGATGATAATGCAAAAGTTAAATAATGAAGTATTGAATTTTCAGGATGTTATACAAAAAAACATTTCACAGATTTTTTAGCAGAATTAAATGTGCAATTAATTTATTATATAATTTTATAATAATTTATATTTATTTAAACTTCAATTATAATATTGGAAATTGAGAGATCATTCTTAAAAACTTTTGGCATATAATTAATTAATTAAACATATAATAAAATTTGGAATAGGGAGACAATAATTGTCATAAAAAACAAAAAAAAAACTATTAAAATTTAATTTTAATTCTAAAAATACATGAAAGTTCGATAATACCAAAATTTTCAAATATGTTAATTAACATTTATTAATTAATAATTTAATAATTTAATATTATAGATTAATTAAAGTTAAAAATAAATTTATTGGGAGTGTATATAAAGTTTACAATCTAGAAAGTACATAATTGTGTTAAAGTACAGGAATTTTTAAGGCTTAAATTTGATACTCGTTAAGGAATAGGGTAAATTTGGTAAGCTATTTAAATAAGTATTATAGCAATAGAGGTACCGTTAAGGAGTTTGGTAAAGTTGGTAGAATAGTTATTGGAGTATAAACGCAACTGAGTTCTGTTAAGGAGTTTGGTAAAGTTGGTAGGAAAATTATTTGAGTAAAAGAGCAATAAAGTTCCGTTAAGAAGTCGGATAAAGTTGGTAGGATAGTTAATTTAGTATTATAGCAACGAAGTACCGTTAAGGAGTTTAGTAAAGCTGGTAAGCAATTTATTATAGTATTATAACACTCGAGTACCGTTAAGGAGTTTGGTAAAGTTGGTAAGCTATTAATGTTAGTCCAATAACATTCGAGTTCCATTAAGGAGTTTGGTAAAGTTGGTAGAAACGTTATTGGAGTATTAGAGTAATAAAGTTCCGTTAAGTAGTTAGGTAGAGTTGGTAGGCTATCTATTTTAGTTTTATAACAACTGAGTATTTTTAGGGAGTTGGGTAAAGATGGCAAGCTAGTAATACTAGTATCATTGCAAAAAAGTTTAGTTAAATTACGATATCTTTGCAATCCTCCTAAGACGTTTAATATGTCATCCTTATTAAATTCCGTAATCGTTAAACTTTCAATAGAATCATCATAAATAATATTTGATACTTCAATATTTGGTTCTAATTCTTCCACATTCCCCTGAATCACTTCGGAATTATTTGATGCATAATTATTCATTTGATATTTTATCTGATCAAATCGAATAATTTGAGATGTTTCTCCAAATGAATTATTAATACTAGAAGAAGCATCGATGTTATATAAACTATGTTGTTGATTTGATGGATTATTTTCTGCTATGTTAATTATTGTATTTAATTTATCAACTACTTGATTCAATGATAGACGATTGTCTGGATCATGATCCCAACACGCTGACATTAGATATAATTTAATAATCATTTATATTTTTATGAACAAATACATGAAATATATTTACCAGCGTATATTTCCACATAATATTCAGGTGTGCCAGGAATGATCTTTTCTCTAAGTCCTCCTAAAATTTCGACAGCCAAACTTAAGTCGTATTCTTCATCAAAAAAAGGAGGATGGCCACTTGATATTTTCCATAAAAGTACGCCAATACTGTATACGTCGCTCTTTTCATTAAGTTTAAATTGTGTTGATGTCTTGTCCTTTCTTCGTCTGTTAAAAAATTTTGGGTCGACATAAGGAATTATCCCAAAAATTTTTGATTGGTTAGTTGATGCTTCTATTCTTTTCGATAATCCAAAGTCGGCTAGCTTAATAACACCTTGATGAATTAGTACATTGCCAGAATGCTATTATACGCATATAAAATATATTAGTTATTAAATAGTAATATTCAGAAGTAATTTATATTATGTAAGATTACCAAATCACGATGTACAATTCCTTCGTTGTGTAAACACGACACAGCACTAGCCAACTGAAATCCTAATTTGTATTTATCTCCCCAAGCTAGCTTATTAAAATTACTCTTTAAATATATTTTAAGCGAACCGCCGTCAGCATATTCCATGACTAACCAATATTTTTTCAATTGATTTTCTAATTTTTTTTTTTTTAAAAAAAAAATATTTGAATTAAAAATAAAAAGCAAAAGTCAATCAAATATATAATTTAAGATTCTATACCTTGATTTGACGATGTAATTTCCAAAAAGCGAATGATATTGCTATGAAAATCAACTTCTTGTTGAAGTTCAAGCTAATGTTATTAGAATATAAATTTTAGCTTGACTTGATTTATACGTAGACCGAAATAAAATCTTTTTATTTGTAATTACCTCTTGAACAAGATTTTTAACAATGGCATCGCTAAAGTTATGAAACGATTTTAACGCGAGGTGTTGATTTGAACTTTTCCATGTTGCACGATAAACAATTCCAAAGCTACTGATTCCAATTTCTTGAAAATTACTAAATTGTTTAAATTCGTAGTATTTAATACTTTTTCCTGAAATAGATTCTTCAATCCATTCATTATAATTCCTGGTTGCTTGCATGTTGATTTATTAAAATATGTAAAGAATTAAAATTCTTGGGAGAAAAGAAAAAAAAAGCACTTATTAGATCATTTATCATCATTTGATCATGCATTTAATATTGAACAGCACGATATTTCGACGATCATCACCTAAAACCACCGAAAACATTTTATTTATTTATTAAAAACTAGCTGTTGTCCCGTTGCAAATCAACGGGTAAATCACGTAATGTTATGCAGACTTAAAAAAGGAAATTAGATCTTTTGATAAAAATCGGTTTTAAATAACTTCCGTTGTGAAGCAATCGGAGAAAATCACGTGATGTATACAAAATCCAAAAGAATACGTGTAACTAATTTTAAGACCTGACCTTTGAATTTTACTGGGAGACAAAATTTCCTTTTTTTGGTTTTTTTTAATGTTACTCATTTTAAGTCTGAAGCGTAAGCTTTCGGTTAGAGCTGAAACCATGCATTTGCTGTCTGCCAACACGTGATCTACCAGATCATGTGATAAACATAATATCGATTTGTGATTGGCTAAAATTTAAGTATGGTTGATCAACGTTTCGGACGCTCCAACGGTTCCCGTTACCTAGTGTGTGTGTATATATATATTACTGTAGATACTGCTATCAAGAAACACAAAAAAAATTTTCATAAATTATTTTTAAAAAAATGAAGCACCTCTTTAAAGAATACAAAGAAGTACTAATAATGAAGCACTATTATTTATTACAATGGTAAAATCTTTATAATTCTCTAGAATTTCTAGGAACCTTAGAATCGGAATCTGTTTTTTAGGAACAAGAAAAAAAATTAATAAGGCTGGCTCATATTTACATTTATACATTTTATAGAATCGAAATTTTTTTTGCTTGCTGATACGATTTCGAAAATGGCTATATTTTAATTTTTTTTTTAATTTATCGCCATTTTCGAATTAGTGTGATCAACTCAGCACTAAATTTGCTATTTAACGATATATAATTTTTTTGGTTGATAAAGAATAACATGACTAATAAAAAGGTAAATGAATTGACTTAAAAGGAAATTTGTGTTCATAATGTTACTGATCAGATTTTCAAAAAAAACTTGAGACCATTTCAAAACATTATTCTGTGGTATTTTTCATTAGCGTTAGTTAATATATATTCGGATTATACATAGCATTTTCCTAATATAGTAATTAAAAGGCTTTTTGGCGTTTATCAGATAACAATAACAATAAATTTTCCTGGTTGATCAATTTACGATACGTAATTATTGATCGCTAATTATTAGTTTTTGAAGTTTAGCAAAATTTCTCTCAATTTAGACCAATTATAAGTTTAATAATAGCATTAATTTATATAAATTAAATGAATCGTTTTTTTTTAAAACTTTAATATCAAATTTTAAATTCTTTGCAATGGATCGTCAAAAAATCACTAAATTCATTCATTACGCACCAGTTTCTTTCCGAGAAACTGATACTGGCTCTCAATCAGAATAATTATCCTAAAATCATAGAAATTGATTCAGATTGTGATACTCAAAGCGCTAAACATTGGTCAGAAACCGAAACCAAAAATTTAATTTCCTTTCTTGCTGAAAATTTTGATTTATACCGCAAAAAAGCTTAAATTCTATGGAAAAGCTGCAATCAAAATTAGCAACAACAGAACTAGTAACCAAGTTAAAATTAAAATCCAGTTACTTAAATCCAGATACAAAGAAGAAAGTAAGGAAGAAACGGGCAAAGCTAGATCTAATTGGCAATATTTGGAAGAATTGAATGAGTTATTTGATAATAGGGAGAATGTAAAGCCAGATTACTTGGTATTTAGCATGTTACCCTTAATGATAATAACAAACGTTTTAGATGAATTAAATGCATTTAAAGAGACCAAGAAATTAGCGATCGAAATTGAGCGCGAAAAGTTGAATTGGGAAAAGAAAAATTCGAAAAAGAGCAGGAATTTAGACTCAAATTAGAGATGGAGCGGATGGAAAATAATTTGAATATAAATTAAAAATTAGAGAGCTCGAATTAAGACATAATAAAGGAGAATAAGAACATAAATATTTTTTATTATTATTTTGATTCGAATTTCACTTGTTCATTTTAAATAAATTTTAAATTTAAAAATCAAGCGGTCAGATAATTAATTTAATGGATAAAATATCAGATATAGCCATTTTTTATTATCGTTAAATTTTGTGAATCTGTTTGTCATCTTGTACTATATACAGTATAGCAATAGTAAAATGAAGTGATCAAAAATATGGCTCGTATTTTGTAACTTTTATATATAAATAAATATTGGACACGTATACCCGATCTATTCTCACCTATTTTTTGTTTTGGTAATGAACGCGACACAAATTTTAATTAATAATCACCCAAAATAAATAATAGCGTAAGATACAACTTTAAAATTTTATTACTTTAATTGTATAAAAATGAAATTTATGATATGCTTAAATAATTAAATTAACTTAACACGATATCCATTAAGTTCTGCCTTTTAATAACGTTAAGAACAAAGATTGCGTAAGCTTTATTAAAATCAACGATCGATCAATACAAATTGACGATTTTATGCAGTGTTCTTACAAACCTTTATACAGCTATTTCTTTTAAATTTATGAATTGTGAAAGAAATCCTTCTGACTCCTTAATTTTCATTTCCTAAATTGTTATATAAACCCATTATTTTGTTTGAATGGATTTTTTTCTAATACTATTTTAAATTTTTCGAATGATACTATTAGAAAATTAATTTTTCGCAATTTAATGAATTTCCTGCATATACAGTATGTGTATGATTTTTTGTTTCGTTAGTCGTACTCTACTTGCTGGCTGCTATAAATCTACCAAGATTTGCGTGTTAATATGAGAACAAAAGCTATTTTTGAACTATAACCTCATCGCATAACCTCATATCGTGATGTAAACAGTGATATTCGCTATTTAATAGATTAATGAGTAACAAAGATGATGGGGTTGTCCAAATAATTGTACAAATTTGTTTATGCTCGAAGGTATTTACAATTAGACGTTGTAAGCACCTTACGTTCAGTATGAAATTTCAAGTCAAATAAATATTTAATTTTAATTTTATAGTTGTACATATATAGAAAGAAAATTTAAATGTTAATTAATTCATTTCTGACGTCATTTGTAAAATAAATTGGCTTTAAAAAAAAAAAATTCAGTAGCATTGCGATGATCTTTCAACTTGTCATACAAATGGTCTGATGACCTCTTTGACCAACCTGAATTCGTTACACAACACAATAATAATTATTTGAAGTAAAAAAGTTCAATAAAGTTTTTTCTCTTTTCCAAAAAAATATTTTACAGATTAAAAAAAAAAATGTCTGCACAATTTTTTCCCAATTTAAGCCAAAATTATATTGAAATTTTAAATGATGATGAATATTATGATATTACAATTGAAGTTGGAAAAGATCCGAATGTGAAAATCTTTCGTGCGCATATGATCATTTTATGTTACCGTTCTCCGTATTTACGACGAAAGTTATCATCTTATAAAAAGGATGGTGACATCGCTTTAGTTCATATCAAGTTGCCAAATATTTTACCAGAAAATTTTCAAATTATTTTGAGGTAAGTGTATAAAGCTAAGCATCATCTTACTTAGAATATTATTATTTTCTTTCGTCATCTCATCTTAATGATCATATGATTGATGTAGGTACATCTATGGTGGAATAATTTCAATAAATGAGCAAGATCCTTCAGACATTTTGAAATTATTGGCTGCTGCTGATGAGCTCCTTCTTCAAGAACTAGTTGATTATTTACAATGTTATTTAATTGAAAACAAATCTGAATGGATAGAACAACATTTTGAGCTCACTAATAGAACGAGTTTTCAATTTAATTCTTTGGTAAAACTTCAAGTATATTGTACAGATTTTATTGCTAAATCACCTGAAAAAATATTTCGATCACTTGATTTTACGTCACTTCCTGAAAAGTCTTTGATTTCACTTATCAAAAGAGATGAACTACAGATGAAGGAAATTGAAGTTTGGGAGCATGTTTTAAGATGGGGACTGGAAAAAAATCCTACGCTTATACCTGACCCTGTAACTTGGTCAGATGATGATTTCAAAATGATGAAGAGTACTTTACAACACTGTCTACCCTTGGTTAGATTTTTTAGTTTAACTTCCGAAGATTTCCTTGAAAAAGTTCGGCCGTATAAAAAGATTTTAAATTCCCAACTTTATGAAGAATTATTAACATCTTATTTGAATCCTAATATTGAACCAAATGTTAATATTTTACTGCCAAGGAATCGAAACAAAAATATTTTTGATTCAAAATTCGTTAATTTATATATTGCTTCATTTATTTCAAGATGGATTGATAAAATAGATACTAAAAGTAAATTTACTTTTACTAGAGAGTTGTATTTACCATATAAATTTAAATTATTATTAAGAGGAAGCAGAGATGGATTCTACCCCCTTAATTTTCATGAATTATGTGATAATATACCTAACACAGTTACGTTCGTCAAAGTAAAAGAGACAGATGAAATCCTTGGTGGATTTAATCCTTTAATATGGGATAAATCAAATAAATATGGAGTAACCAAAGATAGTTTTATATTTTCTTTTAAGAATAAGTATAATCTTAAAGATTTAATTTTAAGCCGTGTAAATCATACAAGCAAAGCAATATCTTGTTTCGAGAATTATGGCCCGACATTTGGTAATGATCTTGAAATATCAATATTAAGATTTGGTGTCATAAATAATATTTGCAGACTAGATATTTATGAAGAAAGGATAAGTACAAATGGAAGGTTTGATGTAGAAGATTATGAAGTATATCAAATTTTAAAAGAATAAATTTATAATTTTATACCTATATTATTTATAACAATTCATTTATGAAATCTTTATAATAACGATTTGAATTTTCTCGTTGAACAAACAATCATTTTTATTAGCTATTCCGAAAGTGAAGTGAATGAATAATGACTTGCGAATTAAAATAATGATAAATTATTAACACAGTTATAACTACTTCCATTTTATTTCAAACGATTCTGTTCCGGTATACAAATGCTAATAAACAATTAATAATTACTTAATTACCTTTTTAAAATATAGCGTGTAGTTTCATTAAAATTAATTACGCTATTTTAATATATATCTTTATTTTGTTTATTTCTACATGAAAACTTTGGTGAATAATTCCTTGGAGATAAATAATATACAGCAATGTTTTGATCTTTATACCATCCAATATTATCAGATGAAATAATTCTCTCTTTTACGATAAATTTGAGCGCAATCATAATGTTATTGCAACTAATTTAAATGTCTTTAATAAAATCTATATAAAATTCTGAATTTTAAAATTATCAATTTAATAGTAAAGTACAAATTCAAAAGAAATTTGGATATTATTTCAAGTATCGTAAATTTATAAAATTTATATGTTTTGCTAAATTTTCATAATTTAAATCGAGATGACAATAAAAATTAGCATAAAATTTATCATGATGAGTTTAAATTAAATTAATGCATTTTTTAGAAAAAAACTGTCATAATATTACAATATCTATCTGACTACATAGTAGTATAGTATGAATATCCTTAAGTTTCCGAATTAATTTCTTACGATTTATTTATTAATGATATAAATTCGCCAAGACATTTAGTATAATCGAATTCTAGTTTTCTTCCATGAAAAATTATTTGTATAATATAGGATCTCAAAATAAAAAACGTTCATAAATGAATTAAATTATTCAATAAACTTAGTTCTTTTCAAATAAAAATTGGATTATTTATTATCAGAGATATCGGCGATGAGGAAAGTTTCAACTGCAAGTTGCACCAAATTAGATTGTTAATTTGATGAATATACTTGTCCTTTATCCATTAAAGTTATTCAAAATTATTTATTTAAATTTAATGCAATTTTTTACCTATTTATTAGGAACTTTTGAAAATGGTTCATTTTATAAAATTATATAATCAATTAAGTTTGCATAATAAAAGGTAACTTATAGCAATAGTTCCTCTAAAATGATGACTCTTTTACATAATCCTATATTGAACGCGAAAAAAATCCGAGCTTAAATGGTATAATGTTAACATTTGCTGTATAACGATAAGTTCTCGTCATTTGAAAATCCTATTCAAGAATTTTTGATAATCAATT